GAAGCAGGAAATGAAGAGGATTTCCACCTGAGGGGTGAAGGCTCGAGCTACAGGCAAGAGAGTGTGTTTACCGCTATCGAGCGAAGATGCGTGCCGACAGCTGCGTGTGTGAAGCTGACGTGTTCGGGCGAAGAAGTTTGAAGTTTGGAGAGTGGCCTATTGAAGACGGGAGGTTTCCTGGAAGAGAAACTTCGAGGGCCGCGGAACGACAACAACGCTGGACTTTGAGTGAGTGATTCTCGGAAGAGTATCATCCAGACTTTGGTTCCAAGAACTTTGGACTGAATAGGTTTTCTATCTCTTTAGTCTTTAAGTGTCTTGGTTGTTCAATGCATGCGACTGCATTGTAGTGCGTATTGTTGTCTGTGTCCGTTGTTTGAAGTGTGGTTGATTGTACTGTGTAGTACGTTGTTTGTTTGGTGACGTATTGCATGTAACTATTGTGGAGTGTGCATTCTTGTGTATTGTTTTCGATCTGCCATTTTTGAGAATATAGTATTTGTTTTGTTTATCAACTCTCGGCTCTGACTTGTTCTTTGGGCCACAGCCGGCGTCCGCTGGCGCGCCAAAAAGGACCACTTCTAAATTGTCCACGCTTTCGTGGTGCGGTTTGGAGGGCCAATACTTCGGCCCTTGGAATTAGCCCGGCGATCGCCTCCCTAATTAACGGGACCTGTGTGACATAAGTACACCCTCAGTGTCTGTTCAATCGCCTCATTTTTTTTAATCAAAGGAGGTAACACAATCTGAGTCAGCTGTACATCTATGATTCGAATATATGAATGTTTCCCCCACGTAGTGTCTATGTTCTATAGTTTCATGTATAGTCTGCGTGGTTTTGTTTCAAAACAAAGTAGCATTCGAAACCAAACCAAAATTTAATTAGGTGAAATAAAAAGGAAAAAAAACGATGAAGCAATCATTCATCAGGTAGGTGTAAAATAAAACACAGGCTTCATTTCTGGCGAGATCCGTGGGAAGATGTCAATGATAATCTATATGACAGTGGACTACGGCAATATCTTTGTTTTTTTTTTAACTTAGGATCTGTACTTGCGTATCTAAACCTAAAATAAAAACATACATCTGCAGTTAGTAATAAGGCTATAAGCTATAAGTTGCTTGGCGTGGCCAGGCAAAATGTTTCTTTTTTTTTCCTGTGGAAAGTGTCGAAAGTGCAACAATTTAAGAGCATGCCAAGCCTCTTCGAACTTAATTCATAAAGCTTATTCAGGAACACTTGTGTTTGGAAGGAGGGATAGCTTCTCTAGCTCATCCTGTTTTCACTTTTTTTATGTGTATATGAAAAAAAAAACAATAAACACGGGAAAGCAGACTGCGTTAGAGTCGGCTATCCCATTAACATGATAGTACTATTCAAGAAACACGAAAAAAGAAGAAGAACTGGAAAGAATAAAATAATAAGAAAAGAGAAAGTTATCGAGGGCACCCTCTGCACATACACTTTGGTCCTCCCAAAATTATGATGAAGAAAATTTTATTGGTCAAACTGTTTTTAATCCTATTGTATGCCTCTCCAGTGAACCCCTCTCCTGTCTCTTGACGAAAAAAAAGACAAACAAACAACAAAAAACGTTGTATTGTGGTCTTCACCGCATTGTGACAAATAGTGCAGTGAAGACACCACTGACAGCAATGCTGGCGATGAAGCTTTTTGGGGGAGAGGTTGATCATTATGAAGGTCAAGGCCCTAGATGCCTCATCAAGATCGAGTGTCGACCATCGGAGTCAACACGAGTGACGTAATAAATCTTGATCACGTGATGACGTCACAGATCGCCAAATTTTGTGACGTCGCACGACGTCGTCGCTTGGTCAAAAGTGGAGCGACCACGGCGGCCGTGCAAAACTCGATGGGTGCTGAAAGCACAGAGCTTCCTATAAATACACGAGAGCGAAATCTGGCGCTTGTGTCTATGGAAACTGCGACGCACGGCGCTTCGGAGAGCACGGGAATGATGTGTAGTACACGGATTTGCTTAAACTTCGTTCTTCTGGCTCCGTTTGCGTTCGCGTGGCTTGGAGCTGTTTTGTCACGAAACGAAAATCGGCGAATGTTCAGCAGTTTCGCTTCACCACCTTAATCTTTTAGGCTTAAAATTTGAAATCTGGGTCACCAAGTTCAAAAGGTTCGTTTTTTTCTTCAAAACAAAACGGAATCACAACAATAAATGAAGCCACCAGTGCGATTCGAGGCCCGCAAGTGCGAAGACTAGGCAAACCCATGTGCTAAGCATCGTTTCCACGGTCGATGACTTATCGCAGCGCCAGAATCCCCTCTAGTTATTTTAATAAACACTATGGTGCAGAGTGCTTGCGATGCCCCCGGTCCTTCAGGTTGTGCAAATCCACACAAGGAGCAGGAAGGGGCCGGATGTGGCCGGAGAAGGATGAAATATGTGGACTCAGAGGAGAAAAAAAAGAATCATTTCGCCTTGGAGTCTTTCTAGGTGGATGTATAAGCGACTCCATTTATTTTACTTTTCTCTAACCTATTCGTCACAAAGCCAAGTTACGCAACATATATGAAGGCAGTTTGGTCAATCGATCAATTTCTCTACATATAATTTACAGCCGTGGTCACAGCTGCGATGGTCACAGCTGCGATGCCGAAGTTTCTCGACTGCGCATGACGGACATGGGTGCACTCATGCCATTATTTTCAGCATCTATCTTTCCATACCAAAAATTTACCATGTATCAGAAATGTCGTTTCTTATTGATCAAACATTCTTTCTTATTTCTTTAATTGTTGCGTACCACGGAAAGCACCCGATTCCATACACGAAGAAGAAGAAGAAGAAAAAAGACATTCCCTTTTCTCCGGCGTTTACATTAATGATGTTCGCATTTACATTAACTGCCAGCTTCTTGGCCAATCCCCTGTTGTGGGTTAAATATAAGGAATAAGCAAGCAAGCAATTTACTTCAGTCCCAATCATATCTCGGTGACCCTTCGATTGTTCTCCAACAGACGTTTCGATGACGATCGTCACCCACAGTGCTGTTCAAGATGTCTTTGCGTGCAGGGCGCATTCATTGCTGAATATTTTCGAACGAACACCAACGAGGTTCTCTGAGATATTGTGTTCTCGCCGGAATGCTTCATTACAAGGAGAGGGTAATAAGAGTGGCTCAATGGGATTATTTGGTATGGCACAGTCTACTTTTTCGTAGTACGGCAGCAAAATAAAACACGATTCAACGAAGTATGAGGCACGGCAACTAACTCATCACAGCTGGAGCCACCAACAGTGGATGTTTGGCACGCTACTGGTATTACGTCATATACACGAGAGAAAAAGAAATAGAAGGAAGTGTGCATTTGGGCAGATAAATATGCGATTGTCTGGTGCTAGACAATGCGTTTCTTTGTGTTCTGTAAGCTCTCCGGCTCTGACTAGGTATTTGAATTACTACCGGCATTGGCTGGTGCACCAACTGAAGTACCTACTGATAATTACCCATGATAAAGTGGGGCATTTCGAAGGATCAATGCGTCGATTTTCGAAATCGGCCCGGAGATTACTTCCCGTTAACGGGGCACGACTATATGGTATATTAGAAATTACGAAATATTTTATATTATTACATCGCAACAAAACAGATGATCCGCTGGAAGGGAGGACACAAGGGTCAGACCAATATTCTTGTTATTCTGCTCGAGGCAAGAGCGGCAGCACTGTTTAAAACAGTAATTATTCTACAGTAAAAGAAAACAAAAAAATCTCTTCATGTCCATACACGACACACATAAATTGTTTACAAAATATTAATGGCACTTCATTTCCACAGCACGACCTCGTTATTCTGCTGCGACAAAAGCGAGAAGAAACTGTTTCGACTGGGCGCCGTCTTTAACTGCCATAACCGGAATCTTTCACAACCACACCCTGCACTTTTAAGATAAGTTTATTCGACGGAACGAAAGCAACGATGACTTCGCGCGGCGAGCCTTGATTTGTCAGCGGGTTCAGAGAGCCGCATGCGATGATCATTCGGGCCAAGTTTCATGTGAATCGGCAGTTGTCGAAGGCTTTATCGTCCACGGTATCGGGTATTGAAGTGCACGCGGGTTGCGCGCAATTGTGGCTTGTTCAGTCAGGAAGACTGCTACAGGGAAGCGCATATACGTGTATACTGTAGCGCATCAGCATGCGGCACCCGTCGAGGAAGAAGTTACACCGTCGAAGATGAGTGCGGTATAGCCCATCACTGCTGAGAGACGACAACGAAACTTCAGTTCTCAGATTTTTTTTTTTTTCATCAAGCCCTACACTCACCTCTGGTATAAGACATCACGTCGGCTGACTTTGATACTTGATGCTGCTCTTCTGACGCGCCTCCCAAGGACATTATCGCCGAAGCGACAGTAGCACGTCCTTCGTTGGTATTGTGCAAGAAGTAGAATAGCGCTGATATGCATATTCTGAAGTATACCAGGAAGGACGGGCGATAACATTGAAACTTTGCATAGAGGCCTGACGCCACGCCTCCTCGGTGACGCAAATCCCCCAACTTCATCGTGCTTCTTTTGTTCCCCTTGCACCTATGCGATTTCAGTAAAATATCAGATTATCGGAAATGACGCGTTATTTGACGTCATACTCTGCCCATTTTGCTGACGCCTGTGCGGCGATTGTTGATTGATTTGTGGGGTTTAACGTCCCAAAACCACCGTATGATTATGAGAGACGCCGTAACGGAGGGCTCCGGAAATTTCGACCACCTATAGAATTCTTTAACGCGCACCCAAATCTGAGCACACGGGCCTACAACATTCCCGCCTCCATAAGAAATGCAGCCGGCGGCAGCCGGGATTCGATCCTGCGGGTCAGCAACCGAGTACCTTAGCCACTAGACCACCGCGGCGTGGTTGTGTGCGGTGGTTGTATATGTTAGCTATATATACTAGAGCTTAAACAGTGCTCAGCATATGAGAATGACAGTCGTAATGGCATGAAAGTAGAGGCAGCGCACAGATGGCGTTGTTACGTATATTGCAGGTGCCTTAAGAAAATTCTCACTGCAGAGTTATGCGGCTTCCGAGACGGGCGGCGTGGCGAAGCCTTCACGCTGCGTATATCGGAGGCCCTGCACGCACTCCGCTGCAGCTACGGTCCTCGAGTTGTGTCTGCAGCATCACCACCAGTGTCGCCGTCAACGCCGCCTTTGCAGGGCTCCCAACGCACCGCCTTGTCGCAACAAAGTTTGAGCGGCTGCTGCGCGTCAATGTCGCGCGCTTCCTGGTCGCACACGAAGGCTACCAGCTTGACGATGCCGCCGGCCACCGGCTTCTTGGCCATGTCGCACAGGCTCTGGCCGACCGACACGTTGGTGGGAGCGTTCATCGCATCCAGGCTACCGGTGAACGTCGTCATCTGCAACGGCAGAAGCAGCATAACAAAGAGAACACGGTGTGTTAAAACTTGGAAAGCCGAGCACGTATACAAATCAGGCTTCCTCGTCAGCTGTATAAGACGCTATAGTGAACTAAAAACCACAAGAAACACTCAAGAGAAGGATAAACATCACAGAAGCGTGTTCTCGTCTTTCTCTCGTGTGTTTATTGTGATATTTAGCGCGATATACCGTCTTATATCATGGAGTACCAAGTATAGCTTAATCTTCCTCACTGCTTGTAAGCAAAGCTCTGACTAAGAAACTAAAGCCCGCGCATACTTCCATGTCAGGATTTTAAATGAATAACAAAGAAAAAGAAAGGACAAAGAAGGGAATTCGAACTGATTAGGAGCGCCGTGGCCCGCACTGATTCCACATACGTAAGCAAGAGTGACGACCAGCGTTACCTTTCAAGAAAAAACAAACAAACAATAAAACATGGGCATGCATTTCGGGCCAAATGTTCGACTTTTGAAATGCAAAGATAGGGGCGAACTCACTGCAGAATAACCATATATTTCCTTACACGCTAAACAAAATTAATTACTGAAACACACAAACACATGTTGTATCCTTACGTAAAGGAATCGGTGCAACACACATTGTCCATACCGAATTAGTTGAATGCTTACTGTATATTGATATAAGAGAGCTCGCGCAATGTCTCTTGATGTTTGACCGTGTCTAACGCGAACGCACCGACGTTAATTGACGCTCTGTGATACATCTTCATTCCGACGACTATAACGTTCGTGATAAATGATTAAACAAGCCCTTGTGGCCATACGCGTTTGTGGTAGCCGTATTAATTAACGGTGAGAGCGGAATCAGAGAAAACGGTGTGGCATCCAGGAGAGCAGTCACTGAATTGACGCCAAAGTTGGGCTAAGTACACCTGTTCGCGGCATATCAGAGCATCGAACGCCGCCGCCCGACTAGAAAGAAACGCAACGCGCGTCGTTCCTATATACATAGGCTGTTGGCCGGCCGTGACTTTTCGCGGGGCGAGCCAGAAGTCATACAGCACGGCGACGCAGAGATATTTGTGCTATGGATGGATGTTTTGAGCGAGGCTGACGCTATACGACGTTATAGGGGTAATGGCGCCACCTTACATAGTGATAATGGATCCACAGGAATGCCCTTCTCCTGTTGGAAACGTGCTGAACGGGACATAACCGTAGAAACGACGCGTTGTCGACGTCACGGTCATGCAATACTTCACTTTACCGAAAGCACATGGCAAAAGGCGTGTGTGTACAAAACTTCCAGAGTATGTGACCGTGGCGCAGTAGGTATCGTGCCCGGTATCTGTTATCGCTGACCGAAAGGCCATCGGTTCGACCGTGCTGGTGGCGGAAAGTCTGTCTTTGCTTTCTTTCATCGCACTTACTCATTCGACATTTCCGCGACGGAAATACAACACTGAAGGCTTGGTGGACACCGGCGTAAAGCACTTTCGTGTTAAAACGCATTCCTTCATTTTCTTTCTTAGAACGTAATACCGAGTGCCCAGGAGTTATGCTCCGCAAATTTGACGCATTTGCAGACGGGGCATCGTAATTGGCACCGTGAAGGAAGGAATATATAGCACGGTTAATTTAGTTGTCACACAGATGTAAAGCGGCATAATTAAACAAGCAGATATGACGGCGCTTCTACGCATCGCCTGAACCATAAGCCTGTATACGTGCCTCTTTCTTGCAGAACTGGCTACAGAACTCCAAGTCGGCGTCGGTGCACAGGCTGCCCACTATGGAGGTGCTCTCCTTGTACAGCTGCTCCGGCTCGGCGCCTTCCTGTTCCAGCATAACCGCGCAGCTGCACTCGTTGCCATCCTGAGCCCTGTGAGCAATACGCGGATCTGTAGCCTCACTTCATGTTGGTGAACCCACCGTGAAGCGTATACGGAAGAAGCGTGAAACGGCATACGCTGCTGTGATGTGACTGGCGTAGCAGTTCTGCAGACGTTTTGTGAGTGAATAAAAAAACGGGCGTCGTGCATTTCGTGCAATTAATTATACGCTGGTATTCGCATGAAGTGAAACGTCGATACGACAAGCATGTGTAACTTGTACCGACACATACCGTTAATCCGTAAAGTGTGAACACTGCTCAAGTGCACATATATGCTATGCGTGAGGTCCTAGCTCCGACTGATTACGTATTGGTGGTCAGCCTCGGTTAATGTGAAATCCCGCAGATTATTCTAAAATAGCGTTCGTCAATACTTGTGACAGCATGAAGAACAATCACAGCATGCGTATAAAGCAAATGTTGGCTTTATACGCGCATAATACCCATTCCGCCAACAGATAGCTACTGGATCGCCGAGTTATACCCCTGTCACACGGCCACCACCAAACTCCGTTGAACACCGTCAACGTAAATCTCCCCTAGGGGGTTCGACGGAGAAGGAGTTGTGGCAGTGTCACACGGCATAGACAAGGTTGCAACAGTTGCCGCGAGGGGGCTCAGCTGGCGCTGTTTGATTTTCGGAAAAGCATTCTAATTTCATCTCTATTGATTTTTTTTGTGAATCCTTGTTATGCGGTTTTTACAAAAAAGCACTATTAAGTAACTATGCGACTAACAAATCATTAAAAATAATTTCAAATAAAAACGCATTTGCTAAATGTAGCGATGCTGCTAGTGACGCTGGCCACATTGTGCTTTTAGTTTTTTTTTTTTTTGTTGCTAGTGTGCATGTCCGGTACGAAAGTTATTATGCTTCCTTGCCTCGTGAGCGCACATTTTGTGTTCTTCAGCCATTAGTGACTCAGCGGACGACGTGAAGAAGTGGCACCATATTGCGCGGGTAATGACGTTGATCGGCTGGCGCCGGCCGGCCCGACTCGTGAGGCACGGTGTGTAGGGCATCGGTGTGGTGAGTAAGTGAACTCTGGCGGGCGTAAATATATGTAAACAAACACGCGTTGTGAATGAGTACTACAACGAAAGAACGTTTAGTATTGCCAAAATGTATTATTCTTTCACAGCGGCCCCTTAGTGCTCGAAATTTTTCTCTGACCTCTAGACTGCTGGGGACGAGAGTACCTCGTTTCGCTGCGAAGGGAGATCCTTTGCGAAATGCTCCGTTTACCGCGGGTGCCCGGGGGGTACCCGGGTGCCCTTCGCGGGTGTTCGTGTGACAGGGGTATTATTCGAGGGATTCCCAGGGAAAAAAAACCTGTTGTCTTTATGTGATAGTTATTTACAGGAAGTGATACGACTGTGTTTACGTTGTAGCGCCACTGCGCCAGCGTTGAATATTATAAAATGTATTACGCGAAACATAAAGCGCCCGAGTAGACGGCCACCATGTTTATCGAATCTCGAGCCTCAGTCAGCTGAAACAATAAGCTTGCCGTGTCGCTGTCACCGAATGCGTCCACATTTTATTTATTTATTTATTTTCTAGGAACAAATACGCTATAACTTGTTTTCCTTAAGTGTTCCCAGACTAAACTAGCAAGCAAATACAAAAATTCAACACATATTCGCTAATAATCGAAAAAAACAGCAGGGGCTCTTCAAGTTATATAGAGCGCTGTTGATTATCACTCTAGCACAATACCTTCGGCATACACGACCAAACAACCTTGCGAAACAGGCGTAATACGTATAGCATGCAACGACAAACAATGATACAGCAAAATTAGTTGGGTCTTCGTGTTTTCTGCATATGCTGCACACTCTTTTCGATGATTTGAGAGTGCCATCAAGATTGGTCAAACCAGCTTTCCACGAAGTTACTCCACCATATATCAATAACCCATTTCCACATCAGTTGCAGAACTGAAATGTATATTTTTCTATACCCCTAATCAAGAATACCATTCCGCTCTAAAATAAATCCACAGCTTCTTCGAGCGATTCTTGAGCACAGTAATAACATATATGAAATCAGTTATATAGCCGACAACGAGATAAAATAATTACCAGTTTGGCTGAGTTCCCGAAACGGTGTTGTCACGAGTCAGGCAGCGGCGACGTTACTTCATATATTTGCGAACATCGTAGCCTTCTCTCACTCCACTGATTTCCTTCTCCTCCTAAACTAAAAGTTGGTGCACCGTGCCACGCGTGTTTGAAGTGGTCGAATTTTCGCCGCATTAATTAACGGGATCAAGCTGGATAGGCAAGCGCGGACGTGGTTGTCACAATATGCGGCGTCGCATATAATGATTCCAAAAACATATACGGCGTAGGTTTCAGGTAAACCTTTCTTTTGTTACCACTAAAGCAAGGCGCGGTTGAAGTGATATGCTGCGGTGACGGTGGACAACGTCTCGATCTGGCGGAGAACCGATAACGATGAACATAATGCATCCCAATCTAGTGACGGAAACGCACAGAAACCAGGAGCGTCAAGTTCCTCTCGCTCGTTGCACATGACCGTGGAAGTCAGCACGTAAATGAACGTTTGTTATCCTGTTTTTTCCATTGCGTCTCCGAAAAAGAAACATACTCAGCGACCTCCTTCTGGGCTCTCATGACCTACCAAATTCAAAGCTGAACGAGTGTTTGTTCTGATATATCATAAAATTCTATTTACACACACATGTGCATGGTGGTAAATGTAAGTAGATGGTGTAAAAAAAAAAAAGCCGCACAGACGCGGCTTGAGGGAAATCTCATGCACCTAACGAATACTTAAAATTAGGTAGGCCATCATATGGTATGCTTAGCAGCTGTGATGTAACGCTGCTAAACTTGAGGTCAAAGGTTCGATTCCCGACAGGGCAACCGAAATTCGATGGGTGCTCACGAAATACAAAAACACCCATGTCCTTAAACCTACTCAAGTGCACGTTAAAAAAATGGCCAAAGTTAATATGTTGTCAAACAATGCGGTCGTAGTGGAACTCATATCGCGGTGTTTACACGTAACACTTCATATTTTAATCCCTTTGAATAAGAAGACGAAAAAAATGACACAAAAGAAGGTGAGGAGGCACACGATGCAGTAGCAACTCGCCCAGCAAACTGTCCCAAATTTATGTAATTTCCTTCTTGACCATTTGTATATTCAGTCGACAGCCTCTGACCGTCAAGCTCCAAGGTTGTTTCCCAACAAAATAGACCGTTTCACCTTCGTTCCGGAGACATCGAGCCATGGTCCACGAAACGCACGTTTCGAAGAACCATGATGTTACATGGATCTTTCAACAGCATGCTTATCATAATGTTGCCCCAAAGCAAATGCCCAAAGAACTCACTTGGCGCTCAGGAATACGGCGGAGACGACGACCAGAGAAAGGAACAACACCCTCCGAGTCATGTCAATGCAGCAGAATTATCGACGCGGCGCGCGTGTTCGCAGCCTTCTTGTAGGAGAGTCGTCTGTCGTCCCGGCCAACGCCGAATATCCGGCTACTGTCATCGGCGCGACACGCAAATCCGCCAAATGACTGTTTGCTTAGGCGTCCGCCCCGCTGGCGGTTCCTCTTCTGGCGCACACGGAAAGCCGGCCAGGTGCGTGCGATATTGTGGGCAGGAGCAAGGAAGACGATGCGCGAGCGCTTACATATGCTCGACCACCCCAAGTTTCGTGCAGCACGACGTCAAGGGGGTTGACTCATTTGGTCCTGCAATACTACCGCCTGTGTGAGCTCGACGTTATCCTCAGATGTGTGCTCCTCAGAAAAGGCCAACTGACCATGGGCCTAGGCGGGAAGCGGGTGAGAAAAGAGCCACCTGCTCTTTAACCTCCCCCCTCAATTCCCCCCTCCAACCCCCGAAAAAAGCCACAATAGCACTTGCCCCCCCCCCCCTCCTCCCAAATCTCACCAGTGCTCTTCTATCGCAATGTCACGCTGGTTTGTACACCCCCAAAACAAAATCCTACCGACGTCCATGCAACCAACAGCAGGGAATCTCATGCGTTATGAAGATACTCTCCCGAGCTATTTTTTCACCGCTGAAAACGCGAGTTCCGTCAAGTCGACTGCGCTGCACAGAACTGCTGCGAAGCATCCTGATATCGGTCCAATGACGTCCTGCGTGGTTACCGCGCGAGGGGGCTGATAAGGACGTCGCCGCCAGAAGGCGACGGCTGGGCTGGCCCCCGCAAGCATTGTGGTCGTTCAAGGCAGGTGACCGGCTATCGGCGGCCGCGCTACCCGACAACGCCGCCGTCGCCCATCGCGGACGATTTCGACGAGATGATATAGGAGATAACTGCAGTCGTGCGGTAGAATTCCGTCGGGCAATTCTGTTTCGAGCCCTCTTCCTAGACACTCGCAACAGGAAGCGCGGGGATTCGATGGCGCTATTGAAGATAAAAGGTTAAAGGCAATCCCACACTACATAAATTGACACGGTCCCACACGCACTCTCGTCTGATATATATATATATATATATATATATATATATATATATATATATATATATATATGTGTGTGTGTGTGTGTGTGTGTGTGTGTGTGTGTGTGTGTGTGTGTGTGTGTGTGTGTGTGTGTGTGTGTGTGTGTGTGTGTGTGTGTGACGCTACGATGACTGGGCGACGTGGCCTGGCTCATACCCCATGTTTATTCTTTTCTGCACTTCTTCCTCCTCAGCATCTACCTTCAGTCACTACCTACTTACGTTACACGACTCCCCCTCCCCCCGAAAGAATGCGCGTGTTTTGTATCCTACAATGCATAATGAATGAGCAGTACTAGAACGCAAGAAAACACATCGAAATGGGCCGTAGTTGCACATCACATTGAAGTTCCCTAAGATCGCACATAGTCTTCACAAGGGAGGGCAGCAATCCGGGGTTATCAAGTGCAGCTCCGGTGGGCGAGGCTGACTGTTATGTTCTGGACAACATAAACATGCTTTGAGCGTGAAAACAGATGGAGATACAGCCGGTATTCTTGCAAACAACGAACAATGTTGGAACACTTTGCAGGATTGAATGTTTCGTAGGCGTCGCATTTTTTGTCGTGGGTCATACAAACGCCGTGCATGCAGTTTGCGCACCCGTTGATCGTGGCTGATTAGGCGCTGCTTGTGTTCCTGCAGAGCACAAACGGTTGTTTTGTGGCTTTTGGGGAGTTTTCTGTGGTGATAACGCAGATGTTCAGACCGAAGGCGCAATTTTGAAAGCTGCTGCAGAAAAGTTTCTTGGATTTTCTTTCTAAGCTGGATCAGATGCGGAATCAGTCTTTTCTTTTGTGATCGTTGTTCTCGACATTCTTTAAGCCGCAAGTATGCTTGCGATGTAGCTTTAGTCCTTCGTTGTCCTTGTTGGTGTGGCCGTTTTAGTTTTTGGGGTTCTTCTTGTTGTTTTTCTTGGCGTTGCTGATGTTGCTGTGGAACGCGTTGCGGTGGGAGCCATTCTTGAACATCAGGCCGGTTTTCTTGACAACTTGATCTGGTGTCTAGTCGGCAGCTGGTAGTCTGTGAGCTGTTGTAATTCTGTTCGGGCAGTGAAGATAATGCTTCAGGGTTGATAGACAGCTCTTTAGAAGCTTCTTCTACACTGTTCACTACGAAGAGCTCTTGCGCCTGGCAGCGTGCGTTGTTAGATACGTCTGAGCCTTGTGCTTTGCTTCGATTGTCTAAGGTGTGTGCACCGGACGGTAATGAATGAACCCGTCCTGAAAGAGCATGGCTTGACCGGGTATTTTCGTGAAGCGTCAGGTCATCTACCATAAATACGGCGTCCTTATAAGGCAAATGGTGAGCGTTAGGAGCGCTTGAAGAACCGCGTGTTGAAAACCCAGGTGGTGGACCACGTATGCGAGACGAAGAGTGAACGGCATCAGGTGGTTGGGCAACGTCTCGGGTCATATGCTGAAGCGATGACTTCGCGAATGCCGACTTTCGTGCAGAAGGGAGGCGCGCTCGATGGCTGTGTTTTTCCCAAAATACGCATTGTCGTCTGCCACTGAACTCGTGTGCCACTTCGTGTTTTGTCAGAGGTCGAATCTTGTTGTGCGTTGGAATGGTTGAAGACTGCCTGTAAAATTGACGACTGAGTGCAGTTGTTTGTGGATGGTGGGTTACAAGCAAGTCTTCTTTGTAGTCGTCATCGTATTTTTTAAACCAAACGATCATTTCTTGTTTTATCTTTTGCCAAGACTCATCGTTGTCGAATATGTGAGTGAGGTAAAATTTAAATGCCTCACCGGTGACGTAGTCGCTGAAGTTCGTAACCATTTCCCGTTCCGACCAAGATGCAGCGGTAGCGTGGAACTCGAACAGGTTGAACCAGTCTTGTACGGGTCCATCGTCCGCTGCTCCGGTGTACTTGGGGATGGGAAAATCAGTAGATGCTTCTGACATGATGCTGGTCGATGCGTAATGCTAGGCGCTTTTACAGTAGTCCATGTATGCTCAGGGTGTCATACGGAGGACTGCGTAGATGATGAGCGACTGATGAAGGGGCTGGCAGGTCTCCATCCTGTCGACTCGTGTGACGCTACGATGACTGGGCGACGTGGCCTGGCTCATACCCCATGTCTTGTCTTGTCTTGTCTCCTAGGAGATCTTGGTACCCCATGTTTATTCTTTTCTGCACTTCTTTACCTTCAGTCACTACCTACTTACGTTACACACACACACACACACACACACACACACACACACACACATATATATATATATATATATATATATATATATATATATATATATATATATATATATATATATATATATATATATATATATTGTAAGACAGTAGCAGCGTTGGAGTCTCGACGGCGTTTATTAGGCCGAATCGCCTGATCAACCCTTCGAACGAAGACGACGTTTTTCGTGATGATGATTATATACAGATGAAGAAGATGAAGGTCAAACGTTGTCAATATTGTGCTTACACTAACTTCCCCCTCGCGCGGAAGCGGCCAATTAGGCCGCTGTTTATGACGGTGCATGGTGTACGGCGCACGAATGGTTTCAAGCGCGACACGTGAACAACCTCCGTACCACAAAACGGCCGTCGGAAGGCATGACAACAGGGTTTACTCGATAGTTAACAGGAGACGTCTGCTCGACTATAGCGTAGGGGCCGATGAAACGTGAGTGAAACTTATCACACAGGCCGGGAACCCCCGTTGGGGTCCACAACAGTACTTCGTCTCCAGTATTGAAGTGAACTACGCGGTGGACGCCATCGTAGCGAGTCTTCCGCTCTTGTTGGCTTGCCTGTGTATTGAGGTGGGCGCGTCGGTGACAATCGGCCAAGAGAGAGATTAAGTGCTCCCTCGATGACGATGACGAGTTCACAGGGATGTCAAAAAAAGGAGATGTCGAGCGGAGATGTTGGTTGACGGCCGTAGACGAGAAAGAATGGGAAATAGCCCGTGGTGCGCTGCGTAGCGATATTGTACGGAAAAATCACGAATGGCAGGATGGTATCCCAGTTGGTGTGGTCGGCGTTGATATACATAGATACCATGTCGGTCGAAGTTCGATGGAAGCGCTCTGTGAGGCCGTTAGTCTGGGTATGGTAGCTGGATGTCGTCTTATGAATCGTATTACATGCGTGGAGGACTTGTTCGAGTAGTTTCGAGAGAAACGCCTTGCCGGGATCACTCAATAAGATGCATGGTGCACCATGTCTTAGAAAGATTGCCTCCAGAAAAAATGTGGCAATGTCCTCTGCTGATCCTGAAGGTAGTGCAGCTGTTTCGGCGTACCTTGTTAAGTGGTCAACTGCTGTGACAATCCAGCGCTTGCCACTAGCGAATATTGGTAGCGGTCCGTAGAGGTCAATGCCAATGACATCGAAGGGAGCGTCAGGACACGGAAGAGGTTGTATAAGACCAGCCGGGGAGGAAGTGGGTCGCTTGTGGCGTTGGCATAGCGAGCATGACGCAACATATCGCGCTACGCAGTTGGAAAGGCCCGGCCTGGCAAAACGACTGTGGATGCGTTCATAGGGTTTTTGAAAACCGAGATGACCAGCCTTGGAGTCATCGTGAAACGCCTCCAAAATCTGCGCCCTTAGGGAAAGAGGAGCAACAGGAACCCAGCACTGTCCTTCGGGGTGGAAGACAAAGCGGTAAAGGATTGAGTTTTCAGTCTTGAAGTTCCGCAGCTGTCGATGGGCGCGGGCGTTGGGAGGACGAGAGGAGCCTTGAAGGCGCTGCATTATAGAGCGACAGTAAGTGTCGCTGCGATGGTGGGATGCAAACGTCTCGTTGCCGAAGGTAGAAAGAAAATCGACAGCGGCGAGTGAATCAACTGACGGAGACACTTTGATGGTTTCACTCACAGTTAGCGACAGGCCAGGAGTGCCCGATGAGGATTGTAAAGGACAGCGGCTAAGGGCATCCGCATCGTTGTGTTTCTTGCCGGATTTGTAAATAACGTCAAACTCGTATTCTTGGAGACGAAGTATCCAGCGACCAAGACGTCCAGACAAATTATTCAACGTCGACAGCCAGCACAAAGCATGGTGGTCAGTGACGACGGTAAAGTGGCGGCCGTGAAGATATGGTCGAAACTTCTGGATGGCCCAGACAACGGCGAGACATTCCTGCTCGGTGATGGTGTAGTTTTTCTCTGCTGCTGTGAGGGTGCGATTTGCGTATGCGATCACATGTTCGGCATAACGCTCTGTTCATTGCAAAAGTACAGCGCCGAGTCCGTGTCCACTGGCATCCAGTGTGCAGGAGAGTGGGCGCGGCGTTATCGAAATGACAAAGCACTGGCTCAGACGTGAGGGCACGTTT